GTGATCCATCTTCAAAATTTCATCATATGTAGTATGGAGAAAAGGCAAATTTAATGACGATTATTAGTTTTCATTTCAAAGTGAATGCACACAATGCAATTAGCATTTTTTTAGTCGTGGTGCGGGGAAGGTAGTAAGGGCTCTGTTAGAAGGCAGTGCAGAGTTAATGAGGTGTGGATGCTTGGGTGGCACTCCATTACATATAAATATAATAAAGCAAATGTTCATGCTATAGATAATAGATATAAAGGAACTGCCTTACATCACGCTGCTTTGCGTGGTAATGTAGGTATAATAAAGTTTCTATTAGCAAAAAGAGGATATTAATCTGTAGATAAAAGTGGATAAACTCCTTTACATTGGGTGGCCTTATTTAGTCGTGTAGGTGCAATAAAGCTTTTATTGGCAATAGTGCAAATCTTTTGTTAAAAAATAGTAACGGTAAAATTCCAAAAAACTTAACTAGGAATGGTAATATAGAGTAGCTTTTAAAGAAAGCAGGAAAAAACAATTACTACATCCAGCTGCTGGAGGTAGTGATATATATGGTAAAAGCTCTATTTGAGAAAGATGCAGATACATCCTCCCAAAGTATGAAGGCGAGTATTGGGTATAAATAAATCAGGAAATATTGTCCACTAATCACATACGAATTCAAGAGGTGTGAGTTCCTTAAGAGCTTTGAGTCTTTTAGCTTAATTGTAGGCCATAACGAAGCTATAAAGATGCTCTTTGAGTTACTAATGAGATTAGTAGAGTAATACCCTTGAACTACAACATCTTTTAGCATCCTATTCATACGCTCAACTTGGCCACTTGTCGAGGGATGTCAGATTTTAGTAAGACGATGTTCAATGTCATTTTTGAAAACTCTATCAAATATGCGCTAAAAAGCGTGTTTATGACGTTCTTAATTCTCATAGGGTAATTTTGATTAAATTACGCAAAAACTCAGTAGCTATTGGTTTTATAGCGTTATTATGCAGTTTAACATAAGCAAGTTTAGCTGTAACTTCCCTTCTTCTGTTATAACTTCTGCGATATCAATATGGAAATAACCGATTGGACATAGCTTGAATTTCTTTTTGGCTTTTATCTCTCCTTCAACATCTGACAGTATGCTAATGCCGTGTCTTTGCAAACAATGATGCAAACTAGACCGAGTTAAACAAGGAATTATGGCCCGCAAAGAATAAAGGCAATTGTCCAAAGGAAGAAGTATATGCTTGCGAAAAGTGACAATTATTGCTTCTTCCCCTTGAGTTGACATCTTTGATTTTCCATGTTTTGGGCCAATTGCAGCGTCTATAACAAATGAGCGTTTTTTCCATTTTACAATAGCCTTCGGATTAAGATTATAGTGCTCTGCAAGCTTTGCTATACTCTCTTTACTGTTTTGTATTACTCTACACACCTCCTATATTGTTTTGGCGCACCCATGTAATACTTGTCACATAATAACTCCTTCTACTTTGCTTTTATCTATATTACTAGATAAATCAGGAGCTTGTGCTTGTTGTTCTTGCGCTCCTCTGGATTTTAAGCGTGCTTTTCCATCGCAACTTCTTGGCTCGATCAGAACATTGCTTGCGTCATAGAGATTACTTGCTACTTGATTCGCTTGCTTCGTAAGAACTTTTCGTTGTTTAGCGCGATCTTCTTGTCGTTTTGGAAGATTAGCATTAACTCGGCATTATCCACTTTTTGAACAACCTCTTTTGTATGAGTACCATCTCTCCTGGTTGTTCTTTTGCCAAAGAAGCATTCTTTGCTGGTTTATTTGATAAATCCGGAGCTTTTGATCGTTTATTGGATCCCCCATTCGTTTATTGAGTATTGTCAGATTTTGCGTGCTTTTTTAGCAATAGCTACTTTCCTTCTTTGCTTCTGCAATGTCACTGATCTCACTCTTAATGTTAGCCTCTCTCTATGATACAGATTGTCCTACTAGCATGTTATCCCTTTTCTAGGGTAATGAGCTTTGTCCTCTAGCGAGAAATTTTCTGGAAATTGGTTAGAAGAATATCTAAAAACTTTTTTAAATTTCTGCTCAAGATCTTTACTTACTATCATTTTATTACCTTATATTGATAATTATACAAAGAAAGAGTTAATTTAACAGGACTTTTTATACAAATATCTTTTTATTTGCA